TCTACTTTACAGCTGTCAACAACACTGCAGTACTTCACCAGTGCCCATAAAGATATTGCTCAGAGAAAGTATGAGTTGTTTATTTTCAACATACAAGAAATAGCCTGACAAGTAATGGGAAAATTATTTAAACTGAAAATGCCAGTTTAATCATGCACTTTGAGATCCTGACTTTACAATGTGGGTTTTTTTTGTAGCAAGTGGAAGCACCTGGTAAATGACACTGCTTATATACCACAGAATAGCTCTCCCCACAGCAAGTCTGCATCACACTATGACAAATAAATCTTGCCAGTTACTTTGCAAGTCCCTAATGAAATTAATGTAGTAGTGATGAAGACAAGGAAATCTGCTCTCAGTAATCCACTTCTCATCTAGAAGAGGGCTTTGTATTTTGAAGACTGGCTGTAGCAAATAAAACCAAAAACCAACTTTCTGCTAAAACAATAGCAAGACAACACACAAAACTCTCCAGGTGAAATTTACTTTCTTTTTTATTGATGGTCTCCAAGATAACACATTTAATATTTCTTGGCCTTCCAAGCTTTTTGCACTACGTTTACAGTAATTATTTTTGTGATAGCAAATACCTGGGTAGAATAAAAGCATCTGCATTTGACAGCTATATTGCTCTGAAAACAGCAACCCACCTGCTTGTTTTTGAGTCTTTATGTGCAGAATAGCAGTTCTTCCCAAGTCTTCTGATACTTTTTAAAACTAGTTTTGAGACTGAAAGCAACAGAATAGTGACTTATAGTGTAGCAAGAGAAGGAATATTAGCAGCTATTCATTTAAGAGAGTTACAACTCCTGTGCCACATGCAGAACTGCTACAGATATAAAGATGTGATAATTTAACAAAACATTTCCCATCACACTGGGCAGCGATTAGAAGTTGTATGCTATGCCAGAAGAACGTATTGTTCTAACTTAACAGGGAGTCATCCAGGAGACAAAGAAACCCAGGCTGGCAAACAACAGAATAGGTTTTGATAAGCAGTCTGGGAGCAATTATAAAGCAATACAGTATCCATAAAATTGATAGCCTATTTCCAACCTCAAGCTAGGTACAAACCTCTCTTTCCCCCCCCCAGTGCTGGGAGCTAACCAATTAGAACTAAAAGATGACCAGAGAGCAAGAGTCTCTGGAAGAGTGGGCGAGTCAGGAGAACAAAGTCAATTTTACATAAGGTAAACAGGAAGGAGGAAATATTACCAGCCTATTATAAAGGACCATGTCAGCCAGGCTCTGTGGTGGGTTCTGCAAGCTGCCAAACCTATGGGACGTCTCCATGGAACATCATGGCATGTGAATACAGGCTTTAAAAAGGGAAATACATTCTTTCTAAATAATTTCTAAATAAACAATGCATTATTTTAAGAAGATGATCTGGAAAGCAAGAGGGGTTCTCACTAGTATTATTTCTTGCAGGTAATCTATCCCTCAGACAAGCCTGGGGAAGTAATCACAGACAGTCCCAGGTAGAATACTGCCCCAAATACTGGCCTTTGAGTTGGAAAAAAAAAATTAAAATGAAGGAATCAATCTTAAAAAAGGCTTATAACCAGCATCATTGACCTGGAAGGGAGATACCTGATGCCCATCAGGAGTCTTATCTCCCAGATGTGCTGGAGACAGTGCTTTGAAATAATATAGCAAATCCAACTGTTGGTACTGCATTTATTAACTTCTTTTAAAAGCATACAAACATTGACAGGTTGTAAAAACACAAGTTTTATCCTGGGCAGTCTACCTCCAGGAGGGACAGCAATTTTTCAGGTGATACCTCCCATGTAAAGAGAGAAATAGTAGCAATCTTTTATAGTCATGGCAAGGCAGTCTATTTCTTCTGGTTCACTCCATCTTGCAATATGTCCAGCACAGCTATCTCTCATTCTTCCTCTATCCAGTCTTCCTGTGTCACTGCTTGACAGTACACCCAAGTGCTCAATTTCAGTCACTCACTCACTGTAATGTAATGCATGTGTTACTATATGCCACCTTTCAAGTGGAAATTATCTTCTCAAGTTCATATTTCAGAACAATTTGTGCTTTTGGATATCCAGCTGTTCTTCAACATTCTCCAACAGCTTGATCCAAAACATTCCAGTTCATCTCTCCCTGTGTTCAGTATCTAGCTTTCATATCCCTCCTTCTTATACACCATACTGACCACTGAAATGTGAAGTAAATATTTAAGTTTAAACAAGGGGTACTTCTAGACACATCTGGGTCAGTATTATGGGGCTCATGCCAACCAATGTTTTATGTTATCTAAGCAATGCAGTATATTTTTCCCAGTTGCTTCAACAACTAACAAACTACACGACATCCTGAATGATCACTACTTCAAAATACATAATGAAAGAATTTAATATGAAAATAAAAAAGCAGGAACAAACTCACCTTAATTACATACAGTTAGAGACCAACAAAACAGTATGAGATGTCTGTAGTTTGGCCAGCTAAGACCTTTATTTTTTATGTACTATTCTTTCTTTTGTTTAGGATATACATCCAGGTAATGCTTAAGGTTTTTTGCCATCTACAAAGCTCCTTTAAGGGGCTTATCTTCTTTTCTTGATACATGCCAACAAACTATGCTTCCAAAAAGACTGTCATTAGGAAGGGAGCCCTCAGGCATCACATTACACAGTTGCCTGGTTCATATCAATGTGAATTGGGAAAAATAATCAACCGCTTTCTAATACAGCTTTAAAATCATGCAGTTGAACTTGCCTGCCTATACTATTTACATGAAGGATCCTGTAGTCATTCCATGCAGTACAAAGATTTACTACTGTTTTTCTATAAGGCAATAACAACTGGAGATACACAATAGCATCAGATCTTTCCCCCTTCAAGGAAGTTTTACAAAGCAGTAAAGCCCTCCTAGCATAAACTGTACTTTAGACCTCTACAAAATCTCGAACAGTTCAAATTTGGTACAAACTACAGATGTATTTTGTTACTCTTCTTGCTTTTCCCCACTCATCGGACTCCTGTTCTTTTCCTTCAGCAATTCTTTTAAACTTTAATTATTTTGTTATTATTGTATTGCAACTCTGATAATCTTTCTCCATTCTCTCACCCAAGTTATTCGCTGGCTCATTTAGAGAAAGACCCATTGAGACAAGCTGGTCATAGCAGCAGAGGTAAGAAGCCAGCCCCTACTCCTGCATCCCTGTGTACCAGTGAATGAGTTTCAGTGCCAGCTGCGTTACATACCACACTGCATTCAGGGAGCAAAGAGCACACACTAGCAAGTCTGCGTCTAGGAGTAAGCACGAACCTGTTGTTTTCATTACCAATAATAACAGTTTCTACTAGAAACAACCTATTCTGCTACTCCTTGCAAGGTCTTTCTGTACATGACTGATAGAAGCATAGGAGATAATAATCTTTCCTGTTTTGGGGAAAACAGCTTACCAAACAGCACAAGGGAACCCACCCAGCAGCCTTCCAAGCTACTTTGCACACCATTATTTCTTTGTTTTGTCCTCCCCTGAAACATAAATTATCAGTGAGTGCTAGAGGAAAGATCCAGGACTTGATGGAGCAATTGGTTGATCTGACATGGAAAATACTCTGTTCCTCACATCAACACCCAGCTTCTTCTTTCTCTTCCATCTCTGTCTTATCTGTCTTTGAGTGTTTGTAGTCCTCAACTAACATCTGACCTTTGACTGTATGATCTGACCTTTGACTGTATGACATGAGTTTTTTCACTATGTTTATTACTTTCAAACCACAAAACACAATTTAGCAGCCACTGGAGTATTTCCTGTTTCAATCATACCCATGTTCACACACTGAAGAGATCTGGCATAATTTTAAGCGCTTTTCCATTCCTAATCTTCACTTCATCCTCAAAGATGTGCACCGTGTATGTGAGAAGCTAAGGCTGTCAAAGTAAGTTACCTCAAAAACACAGGCAGCAGAGCTATTTTAAATGGCAACACACAGCTTAGGATGAAAAGCAGTATATGCTGATATAGCACCAGAGTTCTAAAAGACCCTAAAGCATTCAAGCTCACATTTAGATGCCTCAATCTCACTTGTGACCTTCCTTTGCTCTAGCTTAGACAACGTCCCACTCAGCTGCTGGACTACACCTGTGAAGGCCACTCCCTCCCTCCACTGAGAAGGCAGGTTGTCTAAAGACAATGCTGCATGGGTTTAAAACACCACTTAAATACAGGCAATTCTGAATGGAAGCTGGTCTTCCAGTAAGCAACAGGATTTTCTGCAGTTTGGCCAAGAAACTCAGCTAGTATGCGATCACCAGAAAGTATTATAGTAGCTTTAATTTTTGCACAGAACAGACAAATTCATTGTTTTGAAAGGTCATGACAGTAAATCGCAAGGAATTCAATTTATTCCCCTCAGATGGATGAAGGACTGAGTCAAACATAGAATCATGGAAACTTCTGGCTCCAAGAAGTCTGTACTGGTTCAAACCTGCTCTTCAGCAGCCAAACTATCCTTTCAGCTATATGTTATTAAAGCTTGTGATTTTCAGCTGATCTTTTTCCCCAGCTGTACTATTTTAGCAAATTGTGTCATACATGAGCATCAAAAGAATGGTCAATACATGAACTTGTATTTAACCAGGAAGCTTACCAAATATAAAATTATGTGTGATACAGACAGACATCATCATAGTTGTCTCACACTCATTACACCACATCTAAAGTGACATAAAAAAAAAAGCACAGGGAGATACATGGGTTAAAACACTATCAGCACAATACAGAAAGACAAATACTGGAAAAGCAAAAAAGGACAAGAGTTAGTTTTAAAAACAGAAAAACTATGAAGAACGAAAATAAAAAAGAACACCCTTTGCCTTACATGTTTTAGCTTCACAGTATACCCAGGAAGAGTGACACACCAGTAGCACACCTGATTTAACACGCTCCTTGTATATAACTGAGAACAACAGAGCTAGTGAGCAGATCATTCCTGACTGGATGTCTCGCACATACAGTAATGCTTACCTAAAGCTTTCTGGGTATTCAACAACAGCCATGTTGATAACATCCAGTGCATGTTGATAGTGCTTCTGAGCTGAAAAGAGGAGGGCCAGTAGATGAAGTGAATTCATGTCATCTTTGCACAGTTGCAGTGCTTCCTGCAGGTGTTCTATAGCATCAGAAATCTGGAGAAATGAAAAGAGAATACATTTCTCCTTCAGTCCTACATTATATCTCAATGGTAAGAACAAATACTATCATTAGAAATTCTGAAGAAATCCTACTTAGGCACCTATGAGAAAGACTTCTACTATCTGAACAGGTTGCCAAAATTAACAGACTGCACTGCTTGAAGAAACCGCATGTTCTAGAGAAAGAAGTTTACAACATTACTAAAATCAGTGCTTATAAACAGGAGCAGCAGACCTGATCCAATCAACCCCCTCGTACTTTGGCATGGTGCTTCTATGCTGTAAACAGTTCCACCACAGAGACAATTCTCAACTCCATTTCCTAGGATAGGTGGCTGCCACTTCACCCTAGTCAGAGCATTACAAATCTGCTGCATTTTGTCTATTGTGATGGCTGTACAAGAGTTTTCATTATTTGGATCAAGAACATAAAAATTAAGTTTGAATGTTCAAGGGTAAAAGAGTCAAGATTCAAAATGCTGTCAGAAAAAGTAGTATCTTTGCAAACAGCAATGTAAAGAGCCATCCTGACACTCACAGCAGCAGCATGTCATTAGAATCAAGTCTTACTTGGCAGAAAACATCTATACTGAATTCAGGCATATCACATGCTCTTTGTGAGCCAATACCCTATTTTAGGCTATCTGTTCAAAAGGGAACTTCTTAACAGATTTTCTTTCCTTTGGCTACCAGGAAACTTTATATGAAGGATTTTCTTTAAGATCCTCTAGCGTCTGAAATTACTGTTACTTAAATGATTCCAGATCTGTGTTTGACCCTGGAAGCCTGCAGCAAACAAAACCAAGAAATGCATAAATTTCTTTTCCTCATATATACCTTCCCTCTCCTTCCCGTAAAGGTTTCAGAACGTAGTTCCTTTTTTCCTACTGCAAGAACTTTTCACCTAGCAAAGCTCTGCAGATGTTCTCCTGCCTTGGTATAACCACCAGTGTCAAATTCCCACCGCCTCCACAGATCACTCAGAAAACAGGTAGCACATAAGTAAGGAAAGCAGCAATTACACTGCCTGCAGTTACAGTAAAGATTGCTGAATATCTAGATCCCAGGTCTATTTCTGAAAGTGTGGTACATACTCTGTTCATGGGACAACTTCATGTCCAAGTGACATTTCACTCTTACTGTGCATGTGCAAGCCAAAGTATTTAACCACTCTACTACTGGTGGCTTCACACAAGTCTGGAGATCAGTGCAACTGCTCCACAGACATAACCCCAAACTGGCATCTGGCCCATAGCTTCAAAACTGCTGAATGTCCTGGCCTAGATTCAGGTTGGGATACATGACTGAGTGGCTCAGCTTTAACAAATTACTGCTTGCCAGTGGAGATACTTTAACCACATGTGTTATGATAGGCTACTGCAAAGGTAAACACACTGGCTTAAATCACCAATGTTCCCTCAGCAGCTTACTAGGACACATTTTCTTACAACGTAAACACACTAGGAATGACAAGACAACTTGGAACCAGGACAACAGGCATGAGACTGTGGTGGGCCCAGATCTGCCAGTCCACGAAGTTCTGCAGTAGGTATACCAGAGGTATATAAATCTGACTTGCTAACAAAAAGCTGCTATCAAGGACTAAAAACACCTCTTATTTTTTCTATTCTTCTGTCTCAGATCTGCAAAAGTATTCATAAAGAAACTTCAAGTTTGGGGAAAAATAAGTTGGTTAGAAGAAAAAGAAAATCTGTACACCAAACGACTGGAGGGTGCTTTGAGCAACCTGTTCCATCCGATGCTGTTTTGAGCAGGGATTGAACTGGGTGATCTCCAGAGGTCCCCTCCAGACTCAACTATTTTATGATTCTATTCAAAAACTTGGGAAAATTATCTTAATTTGCCAGTATGAATCAAAGAATACTACTTGCAACTGGTGTCTTTACTGAGGGACTTCAAAATTGAAAGGATATTTGACCTTATTTGCATGTGAACATGCAAATTAAGTCACTAAGACTTTGCTGTATATATGCAAATGTCTGATGATCACACAACTGCAAGTTCATACCCCTAACAGACGCCAGCCATCAAAGAAGCTCTTTGACTTTGCCACATACAGACAAAGCAGCACTAAATAGTCAGTTGTGATTGCTCCTGCAAACCTGTGCCTGCAGAACAGGCAATCACATAGTGCTGAAATATGCATAGCCTAAAATAATTCCCCCTGTTCTATAGCATAGGGCTTGCAATGGTTACATCACATTTCAGGGCTTCCCTGTAGTACCATCAGTCACAGGCAATGGCTGGTTTTGGAAGTTACTCATGCTTCCCTAACATTTAATTATTTAACTTGATGCCAAAAAGATTCCTTAGTGCTGTAGCCATGAGGACCATGAGTAGCATACACAGTACTGCTGTCTAATTAGAAACAGTGGACAAAGCACAGATAAGAAAAAATATCTTTTAAAAATATGAAGTGACTCTATTCCTTTGTGAGAAGCATTACACAAAACAACCACCTGCAACAGACCAGGTGCAACAAAACATAAACTAAATTTCTATAACGATAAAAGCAAGGTATTTGGCAGCAGTCAACAAACCTCCTTTGAAAAGCAGAGATCATCAATCTATTGACAGATGCCACAGCTTGTTTATTTAAGAAACTACGTAATATGAGAAGGATGGAAGTTGGCAGCCCAGATGGCACCCTGAAACTTCAGGGCTATATCAGAGGTAGGCTGCCAGTTTAAATTCCCTACATGTGCTGCGCTTTAAAGTAATCTTATTTCAGCTGAACTGCAAATCCAAGTGGAGCTTGCAAACAGAAGATGCTACCCTTCTCCGATTCATCTTTCTGTTAATAAATATACCACACATGTTCTGTGTGGCACACAGGTATATTCAGATCACACTGATTAGGAAGCAAAGATACTGCAGTAAGCCAGAAATAGCATCTTGCAGCATTACCAAAATAATGCCACAATATGGATTGTTTCAGCTACTTCCTATATAATAGTATTTATTTCAATAACGTGATATGCTTCCTTAAAAACAATCCTGGATGTTACACTTGCAGGTATAAAAAGGAAAACAGTACGAGCGTTAAAAATAATTCTCAACAGTAGAATGTGTTTGGATATTTAGAATAGTAAATGAAGCAGGATCTCATAAGAGGAGTTTTCAGGCCTTATAATTTCTCATCAGTTGCGAGTTACAGTTAATTAACCATTAAAACTAGCCTCTCGGTCTCTTTTTATAGCACAGAAATTATAGAAAGGAGAAAGCTTTATTGACTTGCAAGAGATTCCATTGAAAACAGACTTGCTACAGTCCAGAACTTGAAGAAAGCAGACATGGACATATTTGTGAGTTAAGTTACTACTTAATTCTTCCTACAAGCCGGTTTTGATCATCAGAAAAATCGAGGCCAGGACCTAGACAGAAAAGCAGCATGCTGCTGCTCAGCAGAGGAGAAACGAGCTAGCCTGGGAGAAACACAGACCAGAACTACCCTAAAAAGGGTACCTCTCAATACCTACTAAAACAGAGCTGCCTTTCTGAGGCAAAGCAAAGATAGGAGTCTCGCCTTCTTGAAACCAGAATAAAAACTGGAGAAAACAGCTGAAATATTTTATCTGATGCCTTAACTGATGTTAATCTTATTTTTACATCCAGACACTCTGGAAGGCAGTAGGTGTTTTTTGGATATTGCCACTTGAAACTTCAGGTCTCTTGGCAGTCCAAAGATGAAATTGATAAGTGAGACCTCTAATTCTCAGCTGCTGGCCTCTAGCTGTCTTTCCCTTCCTATTTTGATGCAAAGAAAGGTCAAATTGAATCAAGTATTAAAATTGTATGAAACCCCCATATGTTGTTTTTGTGTCTCCAATGCTGATTTACATAGCATTCAAGGTCAAAAACAACACGACTCCCCCCCAAACCAAGAAGGGAAGCAGAACTTAAAATTATCAAGAGCACTGACTCTCTAGAGTCATTTCCATAGAAACTGGCCTGCTAAAAAACAAGGCGAAGCATTAAAATCAGTGAGCTTTAAAATGTTCATTCTACCTTGTTTTTGCTGATCCAAATGCTGTTACCACAGAAACAGGAGAAGCAGTCGAACCAGCAGCCAGGAGTTGGGAGCTACAAGTCTCATTTGACAACAGGCTCGGCCAGCTGCCAGCCAGGCGCTACAGGTGGAGATAACTACCATAGCAAATATTGACCTTGGCCTCAAAGCACTTCAACTTGAGGAAAAAAACAGAGATTGAGACCCCCCCTTACAGAAAAGGGTATTCTACTCTCTATTTTGCTGAAAAATCCACCCTAAAACACTGTGGGGATGACCTAGACCTTCCAGGAGTCACTGAAGTCCTCCCAGTGACTCTGGTGGTCTTTAAGACACAGAGCCATGCACACAAACATAAGCATGAATCACATCATCATCATCATCATCATCATCCTCCTCCTTCATTCTGGTTGCTGGTGATTTTCAACTGCCAACTCTTTGAAAACATTTTATAATAATTCCTCTTCTTGTCACGGCCCCAATGCTTTCCCATTTACCCTCTCCCTTGCCCAGTGCTGATAGAGACAGGAGCTATTGGAAATATTTTACAGAGTTTTCCAAGGAAGATGAATTGCTCCAACTTTGCTTGGCACTCTGCTGGTCAGCTGCCTCTCTTGTTTTGTTCCATGAAAACACTCTTATCTATGCAAGATGATACCTAGATTTTTCAGTGTTGGATAAAGTTACTTCATTTATTGACCTTGACTATAGAAACAAAAAGGCCTATTTGTTGAGAATAACATTCAGATATTATATTATAACCTACTGTGTAGGAATGGCCTGATTTGCTGGTACTGTATCATCACCTGATGAAAGCCCTAATTGTGACATTCAATAGTTAATGCAATCTATCAAAAAAAAGGTATCATTTATCTGTCAGTTAATCAGAAAGAGAATATATTAGATACTTTAAATAATTAAGGCTATTAAAAATGCATTACCAAATGTTTATCATTAAGTAAACTGGCAAAGGAAGAGTGGAGTATTTTACAGCAGTCTAAAAATAAAGATGTCTCAGGTATCTCCTCTCTCTCCAAGCATGAGTTAAAGATTTATATCTCACTAGATGGAGAAGAGCAAGAGCAGCATCGCAGGGGTCAGGATGACACTACGTAACATACTTAGATCACACATCTATGGGACTGGGGGCGACTGGCAGACCATCAAGGATGAAAATACACAGGTGAGGTAGACAAAAGAAAGTGAGCATGAGGACAAGAGACTGAATGGAAAGAACAGGAGGGAAGGGAAATAATTAAGGGATACATATGAAACAACACAGGAAAGACAGGCTACAGCTGGAGAAAGAGAAAGGGTAATGAGTTAAAATGCAGTGGACCAATAATGGTAAAAATGACAAAGAACCAATGACCACAAAAATCTTGATTTTATTTTTAGGGGTAGAAGCTGAAAAGCTGTAATGAATTAATGGCAAGAAGCAGAAGAGGCAGCAGATCAGACAGCCTCCCTAAGAGGCAAAAGCTGTGAGATAAAGAAGGGTTGCTGGATATTTTTTAATGAAAGAGAGTGAGCAAACTGCATCATAAAGCAGCCAGGGGGCAGATGAGAAAGTTAAATAAGCCATTTTAATTATCTTTTCTTATTGCAGGCTTCCTCACAACACATTGCTCTCATTATGAAAGGGTTACAAAAGTGACATTATCAGGAGTGTGTTCTCTTTGAACAATTAGTTTAACCTAATGAACACACAGCTCCCCTAATTAGCTCAGGAAAGTAAGAAGGATCTAACTGTTTGACTCTGTAGTGTAGACTACGGAGAGAAAACTGCAGCAAGCAGAAAGCCTGCCAAAGAAGGAAAATATGATGATGAAATTTCAAATCTAGCTAAAGAAGCATTTAAAAAATAGGGGCTGTTCCAATAAAGACTTTGGCTTTTAAACAGAAGGGACAGACAAACAAAACACATCCCAGTTACAAAAACAAGGGACAGAAAAATAAACGACAGCACAAAAGTTTTTTTCTGGAAGGCAGTGCAGTATATTTTCTGATCAGCTTCATTTTTATGAGTTAACACCTGCAGAAGCATTCAAATGCCAACTAATCCCACTCACTGCAGAGCTCCAGCACCCATCAAAGCCTAACACCAAACGTGCCCAAGTATGGAATAAACCAATCCCCAGAGCAGAGAGAGTGCAATCTGGCGTGATACAGAACGAGAGCGCCTTTGGAGCAACCTGCAGCAGGACATAGCATGATACCCATGGAACAGGAATAAATGCACCTTGCTCACCCCACCTGGACAAAGTTGCTCCAGGTGGGAACAACACTGCTCCTGAGTTTGGACTGAATGCATGCCCTGGGGAAGGTCATTCCATATGCTACAGAATTACTATTTAAAACATAATAATAACACAAAACAATCTTACACATGTTCTGATTGATTGTTATAGATTACAACGTAGGAAGGGAGGGATCCTGTTCAGCAACTCTGTGTCTTGCTCGATTGGACTGTCCTTCTCCCACCCTCTCATGACTCAGTGGTTGCCAATTATTGCACATACCTGTCTGACAAGAGCCAGCTGCAGTGACAGGTAGAGGATGACTTGGTGATCTTCTGGGGCCAAGTCACGTGCTCTTTAAGGACGACCACACAATACAAAAAGAAAAGTGACTGTTAGATTGTACTTTGCAGAGCTCCTTTGCCATGAGTCACACACAAACACAGAACAAAACCCAGTCCTCTCTTACAGAAAACTAGTCCAGTAACAGGGGAGCACATCAAAACTAGACAAACAGCGCATCAATGCTTGGCTAAGCCAAGCTCACAGGAGCAAGTATGAGAAACACAACTGCCAGGACGTTACACAACTTACATACTCCTTCACTAAATCCCACTTAATGTTTTGGAACTCGCAAAACTGATATGGAGAAAATAGCCATCTAGGAGAGTGTTATGTTAGCACTGATAAATTAGCAATTGTTTCTGCTATTATTGTGACTATGAGCATGTAGAGAACTAAAGATCAGGAGCCCATGACATGAGCTGGTGCTCAAACACGCAAAACATCCTCCACCCTGCAAGCTTCTAGTTTAATTGTTGACAGTAGACTCCTAATTTGGAAAGCGAAGACACTGAGGGAGGAATGAGTACTGGATGGCAGGAGCTGTGCCTGGACCAAAACCAAGGTCCTTACTTCTCAAGCTTGGACCTCTTAGATATTACCTTCTAGTCTGCAGCAGGCCAACAGCATGCACTGCAGAGATCCCTTGGCTAGTGAAGGCTGCAGTGTTTCCAGAACCAGACACAGAGGCCCTGCACCCAGGCTCATGCAATGCAGGGAACAGGGATGAACAACCAGAGTAGAACTGTTCTTTTCAGACTATGCCAAGCATGAAACTGCAGCGTGAGCTTACTAGCCTGTGGAGAAGCCACTAAACCAAGGCAATTGTGAAGATAGCGTTTTGGCCACCTAATCCAGGAGCAACGTTGCGCACTGGGCTCATGCCACATTGGCAGCCCAGCCCAGGAGTCAGTGGATTATCCCCTTGCTGACCCACAGAGCTGACTCCTAGCTCTGCAGCACAGGGAAGTCATTTCACATCAGAGAGCTGGGGAAGAGAAAGGTTCCCCGTAGCCAACCAACATTCCTGACCTCTTTCTGAGCTGCCTTCCAGGACACCAGAGAAGCCTGCACCTGCACTGCCCTGCCCAAAGCAAGCACAATTAACATCCTTATGAGGGAGAAACAACAGACTGACAAGGCTGGTGGCTAAAAACCCTGCCAAAACGATTCATTTGCTAATAATAAACAAATAAACAAACAAGCATCAAATAATTACTTCAGGAAACAAACCACACACCATTTTAATGGCAGCCATCTCTCAAATACCAACTTGGCCTGTGAGCAAGAAGCTGACAGAGTTGACTTTGATAACTAATGGCTCTAGAACTAATTAATTTAATATGGACTGAGTGTGTTCTGTAACTCTACAAGTCAAAGTAGCACTCAAGGATTCTGAAGCGATGCCGAAGGCATCAAGGTGCAATTAGTACAGGCAAGTCACAAATTTCTCCCCACACTTAAAAACAAACAAATGAAAACCACCCCCAAACCAACAACCCCAACTACAAAAAACAAACAAATGAAACAAACACCACCATGACTCCACAAGACAGGACTCAGCTTTGCCCTAAACTGTTGGAGCAGGGTGAGCTGGCTCTTCAGCAAGCAGCTCCTGTGAAACCTTCTGTAGCCTCTCCAACCATAAACAACAACAGAAAGTTCACATGAGCGTATGGGAGAAGAAATTAACGGTGCTTTTGGAAAGAAACAAAGGGTTGCTACTTTACTGCTCAGTTTCCTCAAAAAGTACTAGAAAAAATATTTTATTCAAGCTTGCAGCTGAAAAGCCCACTTAGATGGCTATCAGCCAATCCATGGCATAAGAGATCCTAAGTGCACTCTAAAGACAGCTGAAAAACAACAAAGAGAAAAGAAAGAAAGAAATAAAACTCAGGCATTTAGGAAGGCACTAGTAACCAGCTCACTGTGACAACATCCCTGTTGGCTGAAATTTGAGTGTCTACTGTTTGGCTAGAAGCTTGTCTGCTTCCTAGCTAGAGTTAAGATACCATGAAAACAAGCCACAGCCAGTAGAAATGTCAAAGGATAAAAAAATAAATACAGTTTAAAAGCACTGCAGCACCACAGTTACACCAAAATTGGGCAGCAGTGAAAGTTATTACATTTGAGTCCAGGAACTAGCATGACTTGAAGTATACTCCTGATCTAAAAAGTGACCAAATAAATGGCTTTTTAAAGTTTTATCTTTCAGATCTCCATAGTGTAAACATCCAGAACTACAACTGTGGTTTCAGCTTACTATTTACTCTTGCAACCACTGCAGATCCAGTGCAAGGCAAACATAATTGATACCTCCTTACTCAGCATCAGAAAAACAGCTAAGATCCAGTCACATCTTCAATCTGCTACATCTGTACTTAGAGATACCAGAGATGTCAGATTTTCCTTACTTTTCTAAAGCATTTATGACCACACCAGACCCAGAATTAGATACTTCAGTCCAAGGCTTAGATCATATAAGCTTCCATTTAGTTGCCATCTGAAGTCTGTAGGCATCTACACTTACAGTGTTAACTGCCCAAAGACCACCCAGTGCATTTTGTAATTTCATGGTAACAGGGTCAAGAAGCTCACACCTCACCTCTCTACCACAACAGAACTGACAAAAAAGAGGTTTTAATCCAAGCAGTTTTAGTTGAGGTAACTGTAGTGGCAAAAGAAGTTTAATTCACAGATACTGTCAGGGCAGAGCCATTGGATCAGACTCCCCCACATCATACAGTGGTAAAGAAGAGGTGAGCGGTGACTGCTTACCAAGTCACCCCAGAGCAGCCTACACTCTGGTAGTGAAGGTACTTTCCAATCATAAGGGAAGTAGGAGTTTAAGCCTGCTTCACACAGGAATGGAGACAAAACCAGCTTTCCACAGTTGCCTGCTGGCATCGTGCAAGGAAGCTGCATCACCCAGCACTGCAGATCTCACTGCAGCTAATTTGGGGCTCAGGTTCTCTCTGTTTAGTGGCAGAACAGGTACTGTTACCTTGGATATTCAACCAAATAATCACTACATTTAGCCATAACAGGAATGGTTTTGACAGACTATTGTGGAAATCTACTGAAATGTTTTTAAACTTTCAGGCAAGGAATGCTTACACAGAAGAAAAACACCCCAACATTAAAACCAACAATTATTCTGAATTCATCCAAAGAATTACACAATGCAAGTATCCACAAGATGCCTACTCACCTCTCCAAAGTCTGAAGTGCTTTCTTGTTTAATTCATCCTGTGTGCCCTTCAGAGTAGCTGTAGGACAAGACACAATGCCATTTAAGAGTTGAATTCAGTGCTTCAGGTTAAATAAATGTATGGTACACATGCACAGAGTATTTAAAACTGGGAGGATAAAAACTGGAAATCTGGTGGTACGTGTGTTTATACCTGGAAAACGTCATTTTGTTTTTAAGGAACAACACAAAACCAGTATTTTAACCTGAATTCTCAGTTTCGTTCTTATTAAAGACTCTTCAGTCTCCCTTGTCTGAAATGCCAAAGCATTTTTTATTTACATATGCCACTGAAGGGGTCTGGGAGAAGAAGGGAACATATGCTCACTAAATACTAAGAGCATAACAGGCCCTCTGCCAGGTTGGTGTATATGCTAAAAGCAGTAACTAGCAGCATATTCTGACTCAGATGCAGACTGTCTCCACCATCATCTTCACGTAGGAGGGTATTGCAGGTTGACAGGGAACACTAAGAGCCAAATACACAGCTCTATGACAAAAAGCCTTGACAACACACCACCTCCCTTGAGACCACAACAGCCTTTTAGGCTACTTCAGGTATGGCATTAGCCATTAACGCTCACCTTGGTGACTCTAATTGCTTGACAAAAGGATCCTGCTCTCTACACTTGCTTCCTAATATGCGAATTAATTTTGAGCCAAAACCATAAAAGGAGAAGAAGAATCAAGTTTTTGTTATGCCAGGGTATCATAAGATATCATCATCAAAAGTAAGGAGGACAGGGAAGAGCTTAGAGAAGCAAGGCTTTCTCAGATCCAAAATATCTGGAAAGCCAGTGATGATTTTCAGAAGCTGTCTTGTCCTGGTTCTTAGCTTTCAGCTTGTGCATAGCAGTTGTTTCTTGTTATCCTGTATCCTTGTTATGTTTCTTATCCTGAATTTGCCTATCCTGATCAATAGCACAAAAGTGATGAGCAGTTAATCAGCAAACATCCACCCATGAATATATTTGACTTCATACATGAAGTCAGTGCAAGCTCAAGAATGGAAAATCAGTAAGTAGTGTATACTTCAGGAAAAAAAACCCCAAACACAAAAAAACCCACAAAACCCAAAAATTCACAGATAAAATTCAAGTGTTCCTAAAAGTTAAGAGGAAAGAGTTCTGTTCTTCTACAAGACATACAAAGGTAATCAGTTTCTTTGGATTCTGCAACACACTAGCAAGAGAAACTTTGAAAGTAATTAATTTTTCTTAAGTAATTACAGTGATCAGGCCTTTTTTTATTCCTACGTCTTCCAACCGTTCTTCAAAACACCAGGTTCATTTGAGAGGAACAGCAATCTCTATGATTTCTCAAATCATAAAGATCAAAAATTGCTTAGGCCACAAAATCTACTCTAAGTAGTAAAAACTGAACAAGAAAGTTTGCAGTTTAAAGAATAAATTTGAAGACATGAACTTTCATGCAAAATGCAGCATTTATTAGAAGTAGCTGGAAATACTTCACTCTCAATAGCCCTAAATTGAGTATTCAGGTCCACTGCCAGATACTGGAAAAAGGGTAACAGAGGAGGAAAACTTAAAAAGAAATTAAAATAATCAAGACTGATGTAAACATAAAAATGCCTGAGACACTGGAAAGGATTTGATCATAGCTATAAATACTCATCCAGAAAAATATGTCAGGTTTTATTCCTCATAGAAACTACAACATTCCTTATGTAAGTTACAGTGCAGTTCTGGAGAGGCCACACAATGAAGACGACTGAAAGAAATTTTATTATTTGCCTCCCAAAATAAACATCACATAGAAAAGCTAGGAGAACTTTTAAGTTCCACCTGGTAAGACATTTGGCCGATGTTCAGCTTGTAGTCAAAACCAGCACAAATTACATTATGGAAATGATGTGATTATTCTACAACAAGTCAGCTTTGCCTGTGCACTACTGGGAAATGGCACGCAAGTCCCACCTCCCACAACACGAACTGCATCTTCAGCTACAACTACATTGGAAGTCTGGTTGCCCTTCTCTAGATTTGTGTTCGACTTGGATAAACACACTGAAACTTGTGTCAGACAATATTGAGGACTGATGCTGCAAGTTAACCATGCCATTTACAAGGCCTTCACAGCTAAGGGAGATAAATTAGGAAAAAAAAAAAAGCAATGAAAAGTGATTTTGGGAGGGATGCATAAAAAGAAGCTTGGCCAGTAGGTCACAGTAGGTGATATACCCCCTCTGGTCTGCTCTCATGAGACCTCACCTGGAATACTGCATCCAGCTCTGGGGCTCCCAGTACAAGACAGACATGGACCTGTTATAGTGGGTCCAGAACAGGGCCATGAAAATGCTTTAGAGGGCTGGAGCACCTCTCCTATGGAGAAAGGCTGAGAGAGCTGGGGTTGTTCAGTCTGGAGAAGAGAAGGCTCTGGGGAGGCCACATTGTGGCCTTTCAATACTTAAAGGGGTCTTCGGAGAAAGATGGAGAAAGTTGGGGTTTTCTTGGGTTTTTGTTGTTGGGTTGTTTTTTTTTGCAGGGGGTGTTTTGGTGGGTTTTTTTTGTTCTTCTTGGGTTTTTTAAAACCAGGATCTGTAGCAGTAAGACAAGGAGTGATGGTTTTAAACTAAGAGAGGGAATTTATATTTGGTATAAGGAAGAAATTCTTAACTGTGAAGAGGGCAAGATTTTGGAACAGGTTGCCCAAAGACACTGTGAATGCCCTACCCATGAAACTGTTGAAAGAAGTTGTAATTACTGCAACCCACTTGCATTGTTGAAAAAAGTTCTCACTTCAGACAAAGAAAAGCTTGCACCAAGGAGATAGAATTAAACAGGTCTGAGTAAGTTTCTAAAAGTTGTGCTCCGTTCTGCAGTGTTGACAGCACTAATGAACTCAGCCTGTACCAAACTTTATCCACTGCAAGCATGGCTGCTACACTTCTACCAACTACAACGCAGTATGATTTATTACTTGGATTAAAATAACCTGCAAAGCATGTCTGACCAGAGTAAGGCAGAGAGCACAGGGGATTTTAAGCTTCTGAAACTTAAGCAATTATTCCTGTAAGACACAGTTCTTTTGCAAATGCCACCTTAGGAGCCCAAGATTTATTTTCTAAAGCACTCTGAGTTTTTAAAGGAGCTTAAGCCTGACCAAAAGTGAACCAGATCTTCAGCAACATTTTGGTACCTAAAAATGAAGCTCTAGAGTCACATGTGAAAATGGAGGAGCGCAAGTTCTGTGTTAGTAAGCAGGTGCAGCACCATCAGTGTGAATGCATGGAGTGAAACAACACTGAGGATCAGTATCAACACTACAAACGTAGGGACAGGGGTCTAGTTCTAGTCTGATTCCACAGACCAAACACCCATTAGCAGCTACAGCCTCATCAGGTCTATTTATGTAGCACATTAGTTTTATGGGAAAGAATTCAGTTTGTGTGGTGCAAAACTGTTCCATTATGTGAATCACAACATAAGAAGTGGGGATGACTAAAAGATGGACTTAAAAAAATACATTTCTGATTCAAACTAGCACACCAATGTGCATGTACCCTTTTGCAAATAATGAATTTCAAAAAACATTCCCTTGTGTTAAGACATCTAATGCGGCAAGTGTGTGCAGTTGTAGTATAATGTGTACAGTTTTAGCACCCAGAACTATAATTTAAGATTACATATGTTGACTGTTATCTCAAGAAGCAAAAGTTATGGGCTTGTTCACTAAAAGGCAATATATAATTTACTTTTTTAACATTAACCGGTGCTGACAGTATACTGATTACTTATAAAATCCACAAGGACTGACAGAAAAAGTTTCCCATTCAAGTCCCTGATCCATGGCCTTATACCAAAATTCTAAATGAAAAGAGAGATACAGCACGCTCTCTCATCTCTGGAAGAGTGAGGGTTTGCTAAATCTACAAAGATTTCACAAGATGTGAGGTGGTAATGTTGGATAAGAGCAGCACCTGTATTTCACAACACATTCTCAACCTGATCTTGCCTCTTTAGTCTTTGTTAAATTAATTTCACCTTCCCCTGTCTTCAATGGATTCTTCACCAGACCTAAGGGAGGCAAAACGGACAATACAGCTTAAGTCAAGACTGAAACTACAAGAGGAAGAGAAAGGTTTGCTGTTGACACCGACTCACTGGGAACAGATCTGCAGAAAATTTAGCATAGCAATACATGGGCATTCTGTACGAGCAAGAGATTTGTGCTTCTAAGAGTGAAGCAAGAGTGGCAATGACTTCCTCTGAGGATACATCTTTTAGCGACTTCAGTGAGATTTATTTCAAGAAACATGTAATTAGACATTAAGAACAAGAGAGCTACACATACTGCTACCCAGTGTAAGTGTCAGGAAAACTTTTTACATCCAGGAGTAAATCTAATAGTTGTAAAGTGACTTTATAGCAAATGCTCCCACAAGTTCTTTGAATTGTCATTCAGTAGGATTCTCTCTTCTGACGCCACTTCTTAGCAAGTGTTTTTTGCAGATCACAAAGGAAAGGCTTTAATAAAACTCCTCAGTTTTATTAAACTGTCACACAGGAGGAGAATTATTTACTAAAATAATATGTTAAATAAGAAAGTCTAACCGTCAATAGAAGGCATGTTGATATAATGCTGTAAGCTTTATAAGGCAATTGGTCAAATGTCTCTGAAACATGTAGCTACCACTGAAAATGCTGACTCACTGAAAGTCAGCTCAAGTGGAAAGTTATGGAAATTATGTATACACATATATATGTTTGACTGTGTGTGTGCATATGTCACTATTAACTGGAAGAAACAAAATTGACAGTACGAAGCAGGATTACATAGGCGAATTGCTATCTTTCTTTCAGCATGTTCTACTCTCGATTCCTTACTGTGATAAGCTATTTTTTAATAATGCTAATGAAAAGTTTCTCGTTAGTGCAAATTTGACATTTTCTAGTAAAACACTGTTCCATATTCATGATCATCATAAGTATGCTTTTGAAGGATTTAATTCATTTTATTAAAATATGACCTGAAAGACGGAAATATACTCTTCAGATTTCCCTCCAATAACCGAGTGACTGGCCCTATTGACCTAAAGGCTAGAGATGAGAGAAGGCAGATATTCCACTATTTCACAACATAAATTAGATGCTAATCTGGGAAAAAAAAAAAATCACATCCGAGGTAGTTGTTGTGTACACTTGTTTCTTTTACATTAAAAGGGACACTTACTACAACATCTGAACTTCTCTTGAAAACTCAGAGAAGACTTTTAGTCCAGAAGAAGTGTTTCCAACTTGCATTTTGCTGCACCAAAATATTTTAAGGCCAGAGTACAGTACCTGCCTCTAGAACTTCACTCTTCAGAAACCAACTTCTTTCCATACTGAGGATAACAAATAAATTGTAATGGGCTAATACAGAAAACATCCCGTCTCTGAAAATATTCTCTGGGATCTTGTATAGCTTTAGAGACAGTTTAAACAAACTCTAGGCAAAATGCCCTGAGAAGCTAGGCTGCTAAGCATAACTCCATGTTTAATGAACTTAAAAAAAACCCCAAACATATGAGAAAGTTCAGGCTGGGAAGGACATACGTTTCTTGGCATTAACTTTCTGAGGGGGAACTATTCTGAGGCAGAGAAATGGAGAACTGAAGAGAGCCACAGTGCCTGTTAGCTTCCATTTTGGAAAGCAGTTCTCAGAACAGCTGATCAGATATGGCTGGCTGAGAAAATACACCAACTTGCACTACTGAAGAGCACAAGCCACTTCGTCATATGCATGCTTCACAGAATTCTAACTTGCAAGGCCAGCATACTTCCATGATACTATACAGTCATTTTAGCTTTGTTTCAGGCTCATTTGCTGCAAGAGTTGGTTTGCTTCTGTGGGACTCACTGGACAAAAAAGCCATTGCTTGCATGTGGGCAGGACTGCTAAATCGATTAGGAAACAGGCTAGCTCAGTCCTTATTCAAAGAAACTATGTTAGTAGGCCTTCCACCTATGTTAGAAGTCACAGAAGAAACAAAGACTGTTCCCACTTGTGAGCTTGATGAGTGTCAGACTTAGAACTCTCTCAATCACTGGGACTTCAAGCCCTTCTGGCTACCAAGCACCAAATCTGCAGGAGTCCATTGTCCAGTCATTCAAAACCCAAGCAAACAGCATTAAAACCAAAAATTACTTCTTACATTCAGTGGTCTATATCTAGTCAACATCCACATGTACCAATAAGGTAGATATTTTTATCTTGTTTACTTCTAAGCAGAAAAAGAAACTACATCACAGAGAGGTTGAATCTCTGTGGGGAATCAGTATCACGCCAGTAACTGAAGTCAGGCATTTCTGACTTCAGTTCTTGGATTATATTTCTTTATGTGATTTATGAGTGAGTGACAAAAATATGAAAATAGATGGAAAGTTTGACTTTTTGTTGTGTAAATATGTGAAAGAAATGTAATACAAATATCCAAGCACATCAAGCATTGATGGCTACAGTCAGATTATCACCTCCTAAGCAATGATTTGCATTTCTTCCTTTACTTAAAACCTTCGCTTTTATTACCATAGAAGACAGTCCCCTGAGCAAGTAAACAGCTCCCATTTGTCTTGCAATCTGATTGTTTTCCATGTCCAGTCAGCATTAAAAGTAGAATTTCTAATAGATTTCCATTGCTTGCACTAAAGACTTTGAACAGATACTTTCTGTACAACGTACTTGACAAACAGGATAACTCACCATCAGTAGCCTGAAGACTGTATGTCAGGCCCAGTGCCAGGTAACCCTTTGCTAGGGACTCTCCAGCATCCTCACCCAGGTCTATCACGATTTTAGCAAAGTATTCTCCTTCTTCCAGCTGCAAAAGAGGTAGGTTGAGACTTATTGAATCAAGTATAGAGGAAATGCCTATAAAATTATTCCATTAAACTTACCTGTAAGTGATCTGAGAGCCATTCACACAGGAGCTTTCAGTGACCACAGTAAACATTCATAGAAAGGAGGATGTCGAAGGTCAGATTAGCAGACCTTGGTGCAAGCAGCACAGTTCAGAGAAAAGTTTTAGTTTTGTTTTAAGCATCCACCCCAAATTATTTCCAGATGTTTAAGGTTAATGAAGGCCACTTATCTTATTTTTCTATTTCCCTTCAGGCACGTTACAACCATGCAACCTTAAATATAAATGTTGGACCAACTGACTACTTATATACTACGCTAGCAGTGCATTGAGAGGTCCAACAAGTTTCTACCTTCAAGGGAGAAAGGTAGAAACCTCCTTGGAACCTCCCTCTACCTTCATCCAGTTTTGCTGCACAATGTTTTTAAACCTCAGTAAATTTTACTTCCTTTTAAAATGTTACAGGAGTAAAACAAGAAAGTACTTCTCTGCAACGTGAGTTCAGTTGCAGCTTGCAGTTCTGCTGCCACAAGGAGGAGGCAGCAAATTCAGGACACAAATTCTGATATGAAATACCACACTACCTTAGCAGCTCATGCTGCACTAGCCACATTCTGCATCTGTTGCAAAGATGCAATTTCCTTGAAAATGCACTTTATATTACAGCTTGTAATGGCAAGAGAAAGCATTTACAACCTCTCGGGATCAGCCTCCAAAATTATTAGATACATAAGCTGGTCTCCTCTACTACAGTACAGACTGTTCCCCTCAACCTTCCTTTCCAGCTGACCACACAGACCTAAGTCTAATGAAAATATAAAGCTTTGGTATCTTTAAAATCTCAATCAGAATTTTAAACAAAAATTAACTTGAATACTTTATTACAGAATTGAGTGTTCTTCATTTTTAACCTTAAGCTCTCATTAACATAATTCACACACATTATAAGCAGAAAAGACTCAGGCCTGCAGACTGTACCTATCTGGCAATGTGTAGGTTTAAGAGGTACAGGCAAAAGTCGCAAGTAATACTTGGAAAACAGAGCCTACAGGAAGACCTCATTTCTGTACAAGATAGTCTGCAGATCCTGTCAACCATAATCAGAGTCATCCCTAATCAAGAACCAGACAGCATTACACTATCCAAAACATCCTCCTTTTGGAAATTTTTATTACATGACAAGTGACTTTCTGGGATAGGCTTGTTTAATTTTGAGGAAATACATTTTTGTTTTAAATTCGACTGTTTCAGATGCAAGTACTGCAGACATAACTGAAACATGCTCTCTTAATACTCAGTTTTGTCAGACTTCAGCACCTCATAGTTCCTTAACATCTAAAAGGAGTTACCTAAAATGAACTGGAATCAAGACATAGCAGTAGATCAGAAACTTGGCTTCTGCAGTGATTTGTTAACATGCTACCTGTAAACAGAATCTACTCGACTTTAGATGCCATCCTGTCAATAGGCCTCCTAGTTACACCACTTGAAGACATTCAGGTGACAACATTAACTAACAGCTTCAAAACAAAGGAACTGGTATTTATTAGGTAATATCAAACATAAGAAAAAAAATACTGTCAATGAAAGCATGAAGAAAGGCTAAAAAGTGCAAGTGCAGAAGCAATCTCTACTGCTTGGGCCATTTCCTCACTTGTACAGCTCCCTGAGGCCATACAATTCAAACTAGATGTAGACCAGTAGTTCCCAAACTTCTGAAACCTCAGATCAGTCAGCCCAACGACCAACATACATTTTATCTTCAAACTATTCCCTGAAAGGACTATGAAAGCATTACAGTCTTGCTGATTGCCTAGTCAACTATGAATCTGAAAACTACTAGAACAGGAATATCTCCTTGGGGCATACTTGGAGCTACCAACTGAATTGCAAGGACTGTCTTCACATAATCCAAAGTCTACTGAAAACACTCAAAATAGTCCTATTGACTTCAATGATACTCAGATGAGACCCTTTAAAGTCTGATCACATCAGGAAGATTTACGTTTGTTTCAGGAGATTTATTAATCCCATCAGCAGCCCTACTGAAGCACGTTCTGGACCAGAGCCTAGGACAATGGAAGGAGAAAATGTTCCATGACTTGCCACACAGGAAAAAAGCCAAAACAAAAAATACACCACCAAACAAACAAAAACCCCAAAACCAATGACCAAAAAAAACCCCAGCAAAAACCAAACCCAAAAAAACAACCCAAAAAACCCTTCTGATGCAACAATAACTAAATTCTTCAGCTCTCAGGAACTTTTATGCAAGCCAAAATATCTGCAGCCAAAAAAATTAATTATGCACCTCTTTTGCCACCATCAGCAGTTACATTCCCACTCTTTCTTCACTGTTTCTCCTCCCCACACACAATTTCATCCAAGGAGTCACCATTAGATGAAGAAAAGAGCTATATAAGGAATTCTAATGACTAGCGAACAAGGGTAGGAGTAGGTAGAGCATATAAAAAAAAAAGAGATTAAATGAAAGGTTTGAAGTTGAAATAGAGACATTTAAAACTAGAGAGATTTTGCTCCATTGTTTCTCTGAATGAGAACACCTGATGGTGTTTCCAGGTTCTGACTGATGGCCTACGCTGCATAAATCAGCAGCACACCATGCAGCTTTCTTGCTTGCCAGTTACCCAGGGCCACCTGTGAGTGCCAGATTAATCTATTGTATGAATAATTAAGAGCATAACTTTTCAGAATGGCTGAAAGAGCACTTCAGCACAAACATTCTTGTAAACATTTATTCATACTAACACTAATGGCACTTTGACCAGCCACAGAGATTCCCACAAATGCGAACTTGGGTCTGCTGAAGGCTGCTTTGAAAATAAGCAGACTTGCAAAATCCAGCACTGCTAGTTCTGCTTATGAGAGCACTGACTTTTCCTTCTTATAGCACTCAAGCTCGTGGAGAGAAGGGCTGCACCACAGGTTGCAGGGAAAGGTTCTCTGTCACACCTGTGTGGAGGAAAACTCAGAAAGCAGGTGTGGGGGAAAAACAACCTAAAAAGAACTTTTTGGCATTTTGAACTCAAGCTGTATAAACTGTCAGGAGGCGCCTGGAAGCACTAGCTAAGCAACCTCTTCACCACACCAGAAACAAGCACACACCTAGCACCTGGGGAGAGGCAGGCTGCCAAGCTGTGAGCTGACACCAATAACATTGTAATACTGTGGGGCTGGAGTTTTGGGGGTTCTCCCCCCCTCCTTCCACCCACTCCATTGTATTTGATGGAAGAGGAACAGTCATTAGCTCTGTAATCCCAAGGGATGTTTTCCCTGAAACAGAGTGGCTGTTCCAGCCACCCTTGTTATTTGACTGCAGGTTTTGGTGTGTGTGTGAGCCAAGCCTGGGGGCATACTGAGAAGGGAGTGGGGAACAGCAGGTGCTGTCCCCTGGCTTACTGCCACCCAGCTGGTTTCCAACTGCCACCCAGCTTGTTTTCAGAAAAGCTCAAGCCCTACCCTCACTGAATCAACACCCTCCAGGACTAAAAATGGGAGCTGTAGTTCTCACCAGCACGGATTTAGAACAATTGAGGACAAGCAAATTGATGGTGTAACGCAGCATGGAAATAGCACCTTACCGTGCCCAAAAAGAGGAGTGCACAAGGGAGGAGACAGGAAACACATCAAGTAACACTGGACTTGGGACAGCAGACAAGGTTAGTGAAGCAGGGGAGTTCAGACACCACTGAGACTGAGTGATACCAAGCACGTAAGAGACCCAAATCTTACGGAAAGGTTATCTAAGCAAAATTATGGATGATATTAACTAGTTGGATTGACTTCTTATCATTTTTGTTATACTGGGTTGTAGGTATAGAGACTAATTCAAAGAGGAGAAAAAAATTAAATATAGTGAAAAGAAAATGAGGAGTAATGCATAGGAGAAAGTGGCCAATAAGGCGTAGTATAATAGAAAGGTTTTGTCCCCCAGCCGTTTGTTTACAGCATACAAAGTGAATCATGTTATGTATGTCAGGGAAAAAAAAAATCCTGTGCTTTCTCTTGTTGGTCTAGTCAGCATTTTCTCCATCTGTTACCAGTGCTAAGCCCACCAATTTATTGCACATGTGAGCTCAGCTTCCAGCACTTAGGATACTTGGGCCTCTCCTCTACTGTGGCAAGAGTGGTTTGTTCACAAAGGACATCTATAGAAAACAAAATTTTTGATGCCTAAAAACCTTGGGACTGCCCCAGTAACAGTAGCTGTGATGTAAGCAAAAATGTCTTTTAAAAGATGGACAAAATCTCTAGTAGCTCCATACCATTCACTACTTTCTCAGTAACCTTTTGCCTTAGTGATGTCAGTCCTCTAGAGTGCCCACTCAGCGAGCGGAATAACTCTGATAATGAGACTAGATTTGGTCTTTCATTATTATTCATACTACACAAAGACCTAAGCATTTCCATGTGACTCCAGGGCTCCTAGGTGACTGAGTACAAGCACACGCACAGCATTTATTATCTACAGTGACAGGGTCAACAACAGACAGAAGGAGAGAGAAGGACCCTCAGATTAAGTGGTCTGTGACAGTAATTAATGATAAGCTGTTACCTCAGAAATATGGAGCTCTAAATCTACATCCTGCAACCTCCCCTCCTCCCCAAGCCATGATGTATTGACCTCATGGTATGTCTTACTTTTTATGACTCCATGCATGGTCTAGCCTGGCCTGAGCTCACTCTCTCCTCCCTTTCCCTGACCGATGGCACGCTCTCTTTCCCACACTGTGCACTCTAGGATCAGGGAGTTAAAAGAAATGAGGGACAGGTCTAAGAGGCACAGCACTATTTTGTGCTGCGGCTTTTGCCACAGGCTATCACTTGGTACTAAACAAGTTGAGCACACCACCGCTGGTTCTGTGGTGCCAACTGTGAGGCAATGAAAGTAGTAAGGACATGCCTCATATCTTCCTACTCTCTGTCCTAGAAGATTCAAGCCTATCCATAGGGCTATAGTCTATTTGTCTCTATGTGCATTTACAAAGTTATCAATGTGCCTCCACTGAAATCAGTGAAGCAAAAGGCACAAGAAAGCATCAGAGTAATGCTAAATGCCTTTAAATAAGGCCCCTAAAATAGAGAAATTCAGTATTTAACATTTGCCTGTAGAAAGACGTTCTGGTTTTAGTATTTTCACAAGACCTGTCATCATAAGGTCCTGGAGAACCTAGATTAGTAGTGAAATTAACAGTACTGTACTACTAAAACATTAAAAACAACACGTGCTACAACTCATTGTTGCAAAATCACTGCCAAAATAGGCAAGTGAGCATTCAGCTGAGGCTGTGCCAGGGAAGGCTGAGTGAAAGCGGAAATTGCAGCAAGCTTTTTAGTAACTAGAACCTGAATTTATAGTGGACCAAGGCAGGACAACTTCAGTATTGATATACTCTATCATAAGCTACATCAACTTTCCCATGAAAATTTAAAACAATACTCTGAACTTCAGTAGTCAAAAGCTTCATACTGCATTCTGGAAAGCTGAAAGACAGCTGGCTACACACAAATGGGCTTTGTGTTGACTTGCTAGAATCATTCACATGCAAGTTCAGTGAACTGTTGTGCTCAAACCCCAGCAAACAGGAAGGCTAGGCACCATGATGCCTCAAAAATAATTGAGCCTGCTACAAAGACATTTAAAACACCTGTGTAATGGGCTAGATACAGTATAAGAGTTCCAACTTTGCTGAAAACATTTGTGCCTCATGAGCTTTATTAAGTACAGGTCCAACCACATCCTGACCAGACAAGTGTGGTCTGTGTAAGTGCACTAGTTTAGGAGCTTTTCTGGTCCTTCAAGACAAACAGTACAAGCTTAGAATTAATGAAGTACTGATTTACTGTTCACTCTGCTTTCTTCTTTAAATTTGTGAAAACAAGTAATTCTGAAAAGGGTAACCAAAACATTGCTCATATCACTCAGTTGTTTACTGCAGGCCCAATTCTGAAAGCTGGTGGTTGATGGGGCAGATCATCTGCTGATGTAAGGCAGCATGGTGCCAGTAATATGCCAGTGGAGTAGTGCCAATTTACATCAGCTAATAATCTGGTCATACTGTCACAGCAGAAGCTGGGGGCATTTAGTTCTTTTCCACATCAGGCTCTGTTATATATTGATTTGCATGGCACACTATGAATGTATGCATGTTTTTACTTTGATTTGTTCTGCATTCAGAGATTATTTCATAGATGCGATCTGAGCATCCTCAATGTTGTAAATCACTGTGATACATTTCAATTCATTTTTTGCTTTCCTTGGTTCTTAAAGTGTGCTGAGACACTGTGTACAAACCCAGCAAAATGAGTTAAATGGCCACTAGATTAACCATGAAATAAACTGTTCTGTGCTTCTCATGACATTTTGCAATTATCCAGCTGCATAAATGTTTTTGGTTTTTTTTATTGCTAGTAACTGAAATAAGACTAAAAGTACTGCTTGTCCATGGACCATAAACAAACTGAGTACAACTCTGCACCAAAAGCACAGAAGAGACAGATGCCGGACATATAAATTAGCTGTTTCATTTGGGTAAATAGTGATCTGATTTCACCCTTTTCCAGCCTAGCCAGCAATCAAGTACATAGATAAATTTCCTAATTGAGAAATTAATCATATTTTATATGTTCTGAAAACCAAGATATATTTGAGTATTTGTAACTGTTAATATTTGTCCACTAGACTGTTCCCATGCCATGTCTATCCTCCTTTCTATTTATACTGGCATTGATCAGCTTGTTCACTTCCAGTTTAAATGATTTGATCGTGATTTGATTGCCATGTAATTTAAATGCAAATAATTACTGTAAGGATGACATTTAGAAAAACAGCTCTGCTAGGCAGGAAGGTCTTTATTAGGTACAGGAGTCTGCCAGTAATAACAGAAGCATCCCTTCGACTACGAGAAGTGGGAATCTATAATTTCAATTCTTTTAAAAGATGCTCTGATTTCCCTCCGATTTCCCTTAATTAAAACTCTTCTATATCATCATCACATTTGGTATCAGGGTAGAACATAGAAATCATGTTTGTATTTCATGCTGCACCCCAGTTCTGAGCCAGGGTCTGTCTGAAAAACACTGAAAAGTGTTTCACACAACAAAAAAAGCAGTAGATAGAGGAAAAAACTCTTTCTTGAAACAATCAAAATCAGCTCATTTTCTTCTCTCTTGTGTATTTTTTTCTTTTTTTTGTTGTGGTTTTTGTTTGTTGGGGTTTTTTTGGTCGTTTTTTTAAAATTTATTTATTTTTAGAGTTAGACTGCTGCTTTAACAGCTCTGCCATGTGTAAGAAGTCTGGAGATACTGGACTGCCTGAGGATGGAGTTATGACTGAATTACAGTCTCGCCTTCTTCTCTAAGTGTCTCTATAACAAGGTATTCTTTTTATGCTGGCTGTGCTAGCAAAGCCAAAGAGATGCTGGGGAAAGCACCAACAAGAAGGACAAATCCTGACTCTGCCCATTTCCTGGCACAGCAGCATCATCAATTTGGGTTCATAATTTCCCATTCAACTCCTCATCAATCACAGTCAGCAGACTTTAATGGTACCATTTGAAACTTAGTCCTCTACAGTGAGAACTGTATAAATATCAGGGTAGCACATGAAGGGAGTCTATGCCATTTCTTTTCTCACAGTACAGAAACCTTGTCTTTTTACCTCAACACACATCTGTGACCTAGTGGTTGGTAGGGTGCCTCCATTAAAACGCCATTGCTCCTGTTAAACTTAAGACCCCAGGAATCTTGATCTTAGCATGGAGGCAAGAGGCATTAACTGTATTTCAGTTTTTTTCCAAAAGCTAGGTACAGCAGATGTCACATGTTTAGGAGAACATGTCTCATTATCATGAGAACATAGCCACCTTGAAGTCACTATTTGCGATCAGAAGCAGTCAAAGTCAGTCAAAGCACATCTGAAGGGACCATTCTGCTATTGGCCTTGCTGCCTTCTATCAAGATCCTGAACTTTACCATCTCATAGTCATTGCAGTCAAAGCTGCCTCTAAACTTTACAATCCCAACCAGTTCTTCCTTGTTTGTAAATATCAGGTCCAGAGTGTCTTCCCTCATTGGATTCATGGCTCCTGTGCCTTCCCCTTGTTGGATTCACGTTTACAGAGCAGGAAGGCAGAAGAATAAAAGATTTATTTGCAATATGGAGATCCCAAGTTTGTTTCCTAAGCTAAAATTCAGGCTCCTAGAAAAAAACTAGCCTGATCTCAAAGAAAGACTTTCCTCACATTTAGCACAACCCTTCTGCTGGGTTTTTTGGGTTTTTTTGCCTCCTAATAATCACTGAGATAGCAGAATAACCTGGGAATAGGGAAGCTGTCTTGCAGTCTTGCAGTCCCCTACTATGGCTCCAAGAGAATGCAGGAACTTAGCCCATGAAGTTCCTCTACCTTCAGAGCCTACAAAGCAAAACTTATAAATATACTTGCTGATGTTTTAGACTAATGAAAAATTTACTTTGCTTTGAAATTTTATCAGAGATACTAATAAGAGTGTCTAACATAGCTGTAACACCTGGCTTTCATATTGTTTTAACATCTCTGAGAATCAGAGTGCTGACTCACATATGAGTTTAACCATTATTGTCTGAACAGTACAGTTCATTAAAAAACATACATAACCAGATCTCCTCACTTAGTGGCGTAAACTGACACAGCTCAATTAAGTTCAGCTGAATGCCAATTTCCACCAGATAGGGATATAGAAAATGGGGAAGCAGTGGGACATAAGAACAGCAAATCTAGCACATACAACTTTTAATCAAATCTGGGCAGATTGTTCTAGTATTTTCTTTCATGCTTTCTTGCATCTTTATTTTACTTATAGTAGCAATTATAATCCTTCACTGGCTGCAGGGACACCTCGTGGTGAAGACAGGTGAAACCAGCAGGCTGCCATGCAATTAAATAAACCAAGCAGCAAAAGACTGACAGATGTTTCTGCTCCTTGGGATAATCAGAAATTCACAGGCACAGACTTTCACTCCCACTTTGTTTCTGGGGCATACATTAACACATCCAGAACAGAAAACACTGACACAGTGACTTCAAGAACAAAGGACTGTGTTGTCCAACAGACCTGAACTGTCTAACAGTCCACTTATAATTATAACTTTTGTTTTCCAGGGGCTACAAGAGTGGTCGATTCAACTCAATCAGTTGAAGCAGCAGTCCCCAGAACGGTTGCTATAGCTTTCTCCCTCCTACTTTGTTTAATGTGCCAGCAAAATGCATTTCAGTGACTCTCTGCAAAGTTTCTTGCTGAGTTGTTTGGTTTTGGTTTGGTTTTTTTTGTTTTTGTTTGTTGTTGTTGTGGTTTTTTTTAAGGCATGCATGCATGCACATTTTTAACAGGGATTCCCTTTCTCCCCACTACAACTACACTGTGGCACTGTCACTGCAGCACTCGATCCATTACACAATAAGAATTGCATCAGCTTGCTTACCCAGTGCAGCGACCCAATGCAAACCTTGGCAGCCAGAAGAGGAACGGTGGGATCCATAGGTCGCAGTTTAGCACACTCTTTGAGCACTGACACAGCATATGCTGACTGGAGGAGGAGGAGGAAATAAAAAAGGTTGATTAGACAATGCTGTTACAGAGTCTAAGCAAGATATTTCAGTGAAATGTACAAAGAAGTGCTATGAAGTCAAGAATCACATGTCAGCAACAAGTTAGCAACTTTATTCCCACCTCCACACGCACAGACACGTGTGTGTGCACACACACAAACACGTAGTCTTCCCACGCTCAAAGGAAACACGCCAAAGAACCAGCTCTGGCTGTGCACTTCACAAGAAACAGTCTTCCTTGGCTGTTAACACACTGGTTATTTTAACTCTGCCCTCCCAATTCACAATAATTCTGCTAGCTTTCCTTGCACACAACCATCTTCCAGTAAGCCAGAAAAGATTATGAAGAGCTTATCCTCCAGTACATAAATGTTTTAGGCCAACTCTACCCAGAGAGAGGTTTGTGCAGCTAAAGTAATCTGCTCTGTAGATTGTTTTTTGTTTTCTACAGTTCCAGAACGTACAAGAATAGAAGTGGGATCCCACCATGCAAAGGGCGGAGCAGGCAACT